GTGTGCTCTATGTACTGAACGATTGCTTTGTGCTTCGTTTATAATTTCTGGAGGCGCAAATGCACTGCAGAAGCGAGCTTGCTCGGTAATAAACTCGCTGAAGCAGCCGAGGTCTGGTCTAGAGTCATATTTTTCGGTGTAGATTCTATACCACTGGGCACGTATAGAGTTCGGCAGTTTGTCGGTGAGGTGTCGTAGCAGCTCTGCGTTGACGAGGTAATGATCTCGCTTTAGGGCTCTAAGAGTGACGACGCTTCCCCTCACTTTGCTCGCGAATGTGCAGATGTCTCTGGGCGCTTCTGTACAGCGTGCTAATCCTCGTAATTTCTCGGTTTCTACTTGCGCGATTGAATCTGGACGCCCAAATTGTAGCTCCAGTTCTCGCATAATTTCATCTGGCTTAGCATGCCCGATGAGTTCTGAGCTGACTGTTTCCAAGGCTCTTCCTTGTAGACTTCGTCTTAGTCTAGCAGTGTTTTCAATGTCATTGAAGTAGCCTCGGGTTGTTTCGTAAATGGCACGGAATGAAAGCCACTCGGTATGTGCTCCGCTAAAGCTTGGCAGTGTCATTATAGCTTTCGACGCTGCGAAAGTATGCGACGATAGTGGCGCACTCTCTAACTTTGGTTTGTCAGCGAGCGCGGCTATAGCGGATGTGAGCTCCGATATAAACGGACGGAGCCCCCTGTCTTCACTTATGACAGGTTCCTGGCTAGGTTTCTTTGGATTGGGATCCTTTTGTTCATCTTCTGGATAGGAATCCTGGTTTGTGAGCTCTGATACAATCGGTAGGAGCCCCCTGTCTTCATCAACGGTGGGTTCCTGGCTGAGCTTCTGTGGCATGGGATGCTTTTGTGCATCTTCTGGATAGGAATCCTGGTTCGTGAGCTCCTTTTGGGGCTCACTGAGGTCGACAACGTCCGGGGTCGGCTTTGTGACGGTTTTATTAAATGGTGCCTTCCCTCCGGTGATTGCGCCTTGATTTGACTTTTGTTTGGCTACAGAGTTTTCAAGCCAAGATCGAACGTACTCACTTTTGGAGTGACCATCTTCATCATAGTCGTCTGATTCGTCATCTTCTTCAGCCATCTGTAAGGAGATCTGCGCAAGTTCTAGTTTGATCTTCAATACTTCTTCACGAGCCTTCAAAATTCTTCTATTGGGCCGAACAGTCTTCTTAGACTTCGTACTGCAAACGGTGTGGCCCCTCGGTGGTTCTTCGGAGTGGGTGTCTTCCCGGGCTGGTGGCGATGATGCACGGCTAAAGTCATCGTTGCCTTCTATATGTTCCCTCTGCTTCGTTGTGCGGGCCGTAGTGGACGGTGCGGGCAGGGGTATCCCCCCCCCTCGGGGGGGGCAGCATGGCGCCTCAGCGCCCTTTATCGTTGACGGTGAGCGTGGTGGCATCTGGTGGTGGACGGCGGCGTTACTGGCCGACGAACCTCCTTCCAGACCGACGGTCCACGCCTTGGCTGCCCTTCCTTGCGAACGGGTGATCGGCATCTTGAATCTGAAAATTCTGCGGTTTTAATACGGTGGTGACTATTTACCCGGTTCCGAAATACAAACGGATATATCCGGCTCGAAGGACCAACGAATGTGCCGGACGGGCGAAACTCTCCGGAGTAAATGTTGTCGAAGATACTTCGCGAGTCGCTCACGTCCTACACCTATAGGTTCCGGTGGGTACTCTCACCGCCGTCTTTGTTGGTACCGCTGAAATATTGTGGACTGTAGTTAAAATCAAAATGCACGATTAACAAATACAAATAGCAAGGTAGTGGCCAGCGGTTCAACTTATTGATTAATCGCGAAATTTTATAACTATTATTTATTGATCACTGTTGTTAAACTACGGTTGTTCACTATTAATTGGTCACTGTATATTTCAAAAGATTTCTATAAATTGTACGGTGGTATCAAGTATCTATTGGTAGTAGCTGGTTTTCTAACACTACTGACTAGCAGCTATTATCAACTAAACTAGTTGATTTTATCACTTGTGTAACTGCGAATGTCAGTTACGACCTTTTTCGGCTAGCTAACACTTTCACTATGTGTAACTGCGAATGTCAGTTACGACCTTTTTTAGGCTAGGTAACACTTTCACTATGTAACTGCGAATGTCAGTTACGACCTTTTTAGGTTAGCTAACACTTTCACTATTCACTATATACTGCTACTAGTCACTTCAGCTACCACCGGATACCACTCACTTCACTTCACTAGTCACTGGTAGTTCTTCACACTACTACGGATACTGGGCCCCGAGCCCCTAAGGTAGACTTGAGCAATACTTTACAGTGAGCCGCTTGCCATTTTCCGTTTTGCCTCTTTATTGCATAAACTTATCACTATACAAATGGCATAAATTGCAATATTCTTTATACAAACTAATTGCTACACTAACATGCTATACATCATTAAATCGGTAGTCTGGTACTTTATTAGTATATCATAAAGGTTAATAAAAACATTAACATTGTAAAAAGTTATTAAACGAAATGTCCCAAATTTTCATAATATTTGGGCATTTTAATTCTTTAATTTTTCTATAACTACGAAATGCGTTTAATTATACAAAAATATTCCTATACTTCTTTCATCTATAAGCCATATGCTAATTCAATGTCATATTTATAACTCTTTTAGAACATAAAATTATTTTCATTATTTTTAGTATGATCTATTACGCAGTTAATTAAAAAACTTCTAGAGAGTTCCACGATAAGACGCGCTGTGATTGGTCGATTTTTTGGTATATAATAAAAGTTGTTTATATTACTTGTTATCAAAACGACATTCTATACAAACATATTGAGAGTTATAAATATGCTAAATAACTATATTAATACACGTTTTCACTCAGTTTTCTTGGTAATTTCAATATTAATACATAAAACAATATTCTTTATCATTTTGTTTCTTAAGGTTGTTAGGCCGTCGCGAACAAGTTTTTACTTTGCATTGTGTGGCTTTGTCACGCAATTTTACTGCGTAAAAGGGGTTTTCTATATATACATAGAATTACCTGTTCAATTGACAACAGTTACAATTTCATGTTTATTTTCCCACGTTTATCCAGGACAAATAGGCCATCTATTTGTGTGATTTCGTCTAAATTTGTTAAGCCGTTTATGACATTTAATTTTTTGACCATTTAATAAACCACCAAACATCATCATAATTCTTTAAATCATTATCAGTATTACATCACAATTCCAATGCTAAGCATACGCCTCCCCAAAGAATTGCCACAAAATCACTTAGGTACTCTGCGTGTATACCTAGGTCGTCACTCTATCTAGTGGATGGACTTCGGGAACTTTTTCCCGTCGATTGTCGATTCTTCGACCGATTATTTTACATATAATATTAGTATGGAAAGATACAACAATTTTTTTTATAGGATAGGGTGACAAACGAGCACACAGTATACCTGATGGTAAGTGGTTATGTTATATAGCTTGCATATCCTCCTACAACAACAGTACATTATAAGCGTTTTGACAGCTATTAAGACCCCCACGGGACGAAACGGCGTGATGAATTCTCCAATGCCGCCATCATTTGACATGCAATGCATGTAAGATAACTAATTAGTACACTGAATGACAATATCGGGCCAGAGGTTTAGACTTATAACGATCATCATCAGTTGTGTCATGACGACACCATCATCATCATTTACCCTTTTATACATCTCGTGGACTGCCGGCCGTGCTCTAAAATACCGTAAAAGACTTCTGGTGAACAGTAAAAAACCGATTAGCAACGTCAACAAATACGAAAATTTGATTTTGTAGTGAAAAGTTTAATTGTTGTTAATTTATTTTATATAGTAACTTTAGAAAATGCAATTTTTTTCCCCAATGTAATACGGCTGCACCAAAACTAACGGTTGCTCTAAAACCCACACAAAATATTTTTATTAAAAATCCTACTAATGAAGTAATTCCCTAGTGAAAGATGAAAACACGTGTATTAAATCCTTAAAATTTACTAGAATTTTAATACCCCAAATTAAACCTTTAATATAATATGTTATAAACAACTAAAACGTTGCAAGGAGAGCCTCGATTTGTGTTTCGTCACCCTCATGTAAAATTAAGTTTTGTAATGAGGCAGCCGAATAGCTTTAACAGTTTTACATTTCTAAATCAACTTAATCTGCAAATGTTTTATAACATTTACTACATTAACAAAGTGGCAGTTTTAGTTCGTTATACAGTGCGAGCTTACACTGCTATTGTATGTTTTGTAATGTATAAAAACATTGACATTTGTTGAAAACTTTGGACCGGGGCAAAATGCGTAAATCGTTTCTATTTAAACAATCTGAACTATGGCCCAAAGACTTTACTTCTATTTTTATAACTACAATGGAAGAAACAACAAACAATGCTACGAAAGCTCTTAAATGTAAAACAATACTATATATGTACATAGGTGCTATTAATAATACTTTATTATGTATGGGCATATGCTGGCTTCGTGGCATTCCAGATCTCAAGGTGACAACGAATCTGCATTTTGATTGTTAATGAACAATGGGTGTCTTTCCATCTATCCATAACAGCCTATAAAAGTCCAACTGGTGAATACAGGCCTACTCCATCATTCAAGATGTCTTTGGACCACATTTCAGCATTTCTTATAACTTGCGGCATGAAGCTGTAGCGGTGAACGTTATTGCGCATAATTGGTCGTATTGAGCATTATTGCATATGATTGGCTGTGCGTTACGTTGGCACGAGCTGATTGGCTCTCCAGTCGCATTCCGCCCCCCGCATTGATACATTCGCAGCTGCGAATCCCCGTCACTTTTCGTTCAGCGCTAGAGTTACGAGCCGCGACTTATAACATTAGGTGGACCACGTGCTCGTTTGTCACTTCGAAAAGATAACGGAATAGTGTAATCGGTTTTCTTAGAAATTGCTGTCATCTATCAACATTAACAATAGAACAACGACAGAATATTTAATTAAAAACAGTCTTACGGCATGTTTCTTGGCAATCTGCATGACAGTTTTCCAGGTGACCTCATTGTGTAGCTTTGTCTGTGTGATGAACATCTTTTCCTTCGACGCCACTAGACTCGCCATGCAGTGATAGCATTCCTCCTCTGTGGACAATATCATCAATTACATTTTACGTTCGTGATAATCATATTTATGGCTTTATTGAAACCTAATAGAACGAACGAACTAGTTGGTAGGACTCTTTCGTCTACTTAGGACTACGTCTTGGTAGTTACCATCCTCCTACCACTCCTGAAGGGTATTAGAGAGCCGTTACAACTAAAGGCTGTTAGGCATTACATAGAGTTAGAACCGTTAGTTTTTACGTGGTAGAGCCACGCTGCAGCTATATTATGGTTGTAGCACGAATGGGTCGGTCGACCGTCGAAGGACCACGCTCTTATAGAATACCAGCGTAAAATAGCAGCTTAATACTGCTGTGTTTCGTAAGGTGAGTGTGGAGATCCGGAGACCCCCTTTTTACTGGAAACTGGAAGGCATTCCAATGTAGTCCTCTGGGGTAACAATGCATCTGCGTTTTGATTCTTAATCGAGGTTAAATGTAGATGTTTATGGGTCACAGCATTCACTTATCATCAGGTGGACTGTGTGCTCGTTTGTCACACTTATTCTATAAAAAAATCTAGATCCTTAGAGATGGCAAAGCGTCTGTAGCCTTCTTCCTTTGAAGTTGGCTGCGGGTGAGCATGGACTGTAGTAGCCACTCACCATCAAGTAGGCTGTATGTTCGTATGTCACTTCAGTTTTATAAAAACAACTACAAAAATAAAATAAAAAGTAATATAATACATGACATTATTAAGGAGCAGGAAATAAAATTAAAAATATGCGTATAAAATATGATAAAAATGTCGAGCTCTACAGGTCTCCCCTCCTTAAAGTGTTCTTTGCATTGGGGAAGATTTTACACGTCCTCATAATATTTTAATTTCTTAAATATTCAGGTTCGCTTAAAATGTTTTTTTCACCGTCGAAAACCGTTTCGTGGTGAATCAGAACTTAAAAATTGTTTATTTATGTACTACGAAATTTTAAAGCGAGCGCTAATCTCCTGAGTTACCACGGATTAGCATAATCACCATTATAGCCCTTCACAATTCCACTGTTCAACATAAACCTCCGCCAAGGAATGTCACAAAACACGGTCCTGAGACACCTGCACCCATCCTTCTTCCTACTGTCTCACCAAGTTGTCACTCCATCCAGTGGGGGGACTACCCTACACATCGTACCAGTATGAGGCTGCCACTTGAAAGGTAGTCGGTTGTTCGAGCTAAATGGCCGGCCCATACCACATCATTTTACTCATCCGTTAGGACATTTCCACTCTGTTTCTATTGCGGATATCCTCATTTCAAATTATGTCACGCAGTGCAACTCCGACCAAAGTCATAGGTAGCTGAGTACCACGGCTTATTTAAAATATAATATTGTTCTTGACGCGTAAAATTATCAAATGACATTGAGATATATTAAAAATCCCCACATGCTAAGAATAATACGAGTAAATATAGATAAAAATTTATCATTGGGATTAAAAACATTTGTCCCACTGTATGTTATTCTCGAAATAAACAACGGGTAAATTGCACAATGACACAAAGTAAGGCTTCGAAAAGTATAATACCTTAGAGTATAATATCTTGCGTATATATAACCTAAGTGTTAAATAGTATTAGATAAATTTAAAACGACCAATAGATTTCATAACTTTATGACCACTAGATTCATAGTTAGGTTGTAATCGTAGATCAAATATCTATCGCAAATTAGAGAATAGAACTTAACTTTAAGACGACAGTAGCCTAATGGCTGGGCGCGGACCGCGAACTCAAAAAGGTCGTGGGTTCGAATCCGCCATTCGACTACTGGCGTGAACCACTCGTACGTAACACAAGCAATTTAAGCTTACCGTGTGGTTAAGGGGAATATTAGTAATGTTTATAGCATTGTTAATATTCTTTGAAAAAAAAAACTACCAGACCCGCAATATTAAAGGTGCGGATTACAGTCCTGTGAAAATGAATCCAATTAGCGCGGCAACTCTTCGGGAACGACTAAATATCTCGAGCGCGTCGAATGCAATCAACGGACTGACGCTATATACACACACGATCACATGACATGAACAGATTTAGAACTGACAAAAACAGTTTTTATTAATTTTTTGTATGAATGCACGTTTTTACATTAAACTTTTTAATTTAAAAAAAAATACTCAAAATGAAGTTATGAATAATTAATGTACACGTTTCATCTTGTTTGTATATTCCTTAAAATTATTTGATATTGCTTAGGGGCTTATTTATGTAAATAATTCGAATATGTTAGTTTGTTAAGTATGCCCAAAAATTTAAGCTTATAAATGTGTATTGTTTTTATTTTTCATAAGTATATCTATAAAAGCCTACAGTTGGACATGGATGTCTCGCATTGCAGGGAGGATTTGCCTTGATCGTCACGCTTAACATGCGCATTGAGGGTTGCATACTTGCCTGTAACGCCCAGCCACGGGACTAAATGGGGTGATACATACTCGTTAGAGTACTTGCACCAAATCACATTACACACAAACGCATTTAAATTAATATTATTAATAATAACCAAGTTTTTTTTTTGGATATTATCAGGAAGATGCTGTTTTCCATCTCATATTTCAGTTTCCCTCCGTCGTCCTGGGCCGGTATTTGCTGGAATATTCTGGATGTTTCGGTGGAAAAAGCCTATATAAAGCCGTTGAAAGCCGCGATCGGGGTAGTATTGAATTGGCGATACGAGCGAAGCTTTCGGAGTGAAATAAAGTGAACTAAAGTGTTAAGTGTGAATAATTATTAGTGTGATTTAAGTTTTAATTGGTGTTCAGTAATTAAAGTGTCAATTTTGGTAATTCAATCGGCAGTTTTTATTGTCACGAACCCTAAGCTCATAACAATTGGTGTTGGGTTGGTAACATATTGCGACACAAACGGCATAAATGATGTAGTGGATTCACACGGCGCGGCGTTTTATAGAATACTATAAAATAACTTTTAAACTTCGCATTAAGTTATTGTCGCTATCTATAAAATGGCCACACGATATTTTCTTATATTTCGTCTTAATATATTTACCAAAGTAACGTCGTTCAAGGTTTATTGTATTTCAAATTATAAGGAAAAGGTCGTGAAAAGCGATCCCCGCAGCTATTTAACGTTATTAACGAAGCCTGTGACACTGAGTGCTCGGTCTCTAAGTGCTTCATGCCCTCTGGGAGGTGAATTCAATAAGAGGCGAACCATGTCGACCATTAGGGATGAGGGCACTGACTTAAATGAAAAAAAGGAAACAAAATTTATGCTGAAAAAGAGCTATTACATTTTTCCGCCACAAAACGCCTTTATACATATGTAATTAGAGCATTTTTAAATTGCTAATTTGAACAAGAGTTTTGCATTTATTTTTCATATAATATTTTATTTTTGTTCGAATGGGTAAGAAAGGTTCTTAAGCGGTAGCTTCGTAGCGGTAATCAAAGTCTAGGATAATCTACCACTAGATGGTGTGACAATGTGGTAAGAAATGCAGGAAGTCGATGGATAAATGTGGCTCAGGTGCTTTTTGGCATTCTTTGGGAGAGAGACAGGTTATATATTATAGGTTCAGCAATGGTTGACTGTAATAATGACGATGATGATTCTATATTTTTTGCAAAGTAGTTATGAATATTAACAACTTAAAGAATATGTCCGTTATTGACCTGAAAATTTTCTAACGTGTCTAGTAATGTAAAATATCTTATAAAATTGTGTATTTTTTTCTTATTTCGTATCGCATAATTGAATTTTCAAATAAAACCAGGAAAAAAAGTAATGTTACTTTGTTAATCATTCTCAGTAGACTTTTGGAGACGGAACGTGTTTTACAATGGCTCAAAGGCCCAGAAGCCATATCAAAATATATTAAAAATGTGTTTTCCACGTTCCGTTTCAGACTACGAAAAACTTGTTCATTCATCATGTGGTTTATGAATGTTCAAAATAACCAATTTCTTTTTTTATAACTTATTAATTTATGATTAGATACAATTTTTAATGATTTTATACTATGGTGTGGAAAGTAAAATACGTGTACAGACCTTATTTGACAGCTGTTATAACCTCAAAATTTTATTTACTTAATAGCATTTTTTCCTGGCCTCTAAATGAAATATGATGAGTTATTATGTTATTATAAACAATAATTGTTTTTATACAACAGTGGCTGTGGGTAGACGCGACATGGGGGCATGATTCTTCAAGCAGACTGGCTACGTGTGGTGGCAGCGTAATAGAATCTAATCCCGCATTTCGTTCTTAGGAACAGAGTAGTTTCGTTCTTAGAGACTAAGGTATGGGTTGGAGTAAGAAAGAACAATTATACCCTCAGCAGTATTCACCTGTGCCCAAGCTCTAAGCCGCGAATAAAATACTAACATTTATACAGTTTAAATGGTATTATACAACTTTATGTAGTGTAATGTAGAATAATATATAATTTGTTTTAATTTTAATAACCTTTGAACAATATCCCTAATAAAATAAATAAATACCTATTCAGAGAGAGATTTTAACTTTACTAAGTCATCGCACAAGTAAATAAACCTTTTAATTAATTCCATTGTAAAATTAATATTCGAGTTCGACAACTAAAATCTGTCATCGAGAATAAGACAAGAAAATGAAATTCAATTCCCTTGGCTTACTATTTCAACCAGCAGAATAATGCTGCTATTAAAAGGACATTTGGGCTGCGAGAAACTTGAAGAACAGGTTTTTGACGATCTAATTGTCTTTGCGTTACATGAAAGAAAGGAGGTCATTATTCGTAGCTAAATCAGCGGAATTTGTTTGGATGGCATAAACACCGCCCGGATATCCTCTTCCCGTCAAAGTGAACGTGAGACTTCCTCGGTCCAATCCACTTATTTAATGAAGAATTTATAGGAAGAGTTTACATCTTATCGAATTTTTCTTTGTTTATTGACGAATATATAATAATCGCATCGTCGATTAAATTCGCAAAAAACGAGTGATCCCCAATTCATTCAGTTCATTGTCACTAGGAT